ACGACGGAAGCGGCGAACCCTTCGACGACCAGAGCCCCACTTTGGAGCGTCTGGAGGCCGACCTCTTGCGCTCTCAGAGTCCGTCCAATACTACGCAGCCGTCGTCGTTGGAGGGCTCGCTCTTCGGTGAAGTACATCTTCATGAGATCAAGCGTTTGGAGAGAATGCTCGACGACTGCGACGCCCAGAAGATGCAACTCAACCAACGGCTGCAGGACTGCCAGTCATTGCTCGACCAAAAACAGTCCGAACTCTGCCTTCAAAGCAATAGACTATTGGCTTTCGCCGACGCCGTCAACGCTCTGCTCGCGCTCTGCGGCGGCGACACTGAGACCGAAGCGGAGGTCGACCCGAACGCCGACTTCCCTGAGTTGGCGCGCCTCCAAAGGGCTCTCACGCGCCAAATGAGCGACTCTGCGGCCGGACAGCTGCGCGAGGAAGTGGCGCGACTGCAGCGCGAGCTGACGGCCAATGCCGCCAAAAGTGCACTTCTCGAGGAAGACTTGCGGACAATGTCTCTGATAGCGGAAGACATCTTCGGCAACGCGAGTCTCACTCAAGACGATCTGATCGGCGTTTCCGAGTAAGTGTTCGTTTCAAACAATCTTTTACTTACAAAATGACTACAAAAGAGGTATCAGAAGAGTCTGACAGTGAGTTCACTCATCATTTGTTGGCAACATTTGCGGGTTTTTGGAATCTCGTGAGAGGTTCGGGAGGAACCACTCTATGGCATCGTATAGGCAGAGGGGGCCAACTTCGGCCTCTCCTCACCGGTTAGATCCAGTTCTTTGAATAGTGCCGTTCTATACATTGCAGAGGATATGTCTGCCATTGCTTTCATTATTACCGACTCCTGGAGTTGGGTTCTTCTCGAGTCAGATCTGTTCCACAATCACTGCAATCGGACCCCCATTTAGCGGATGCGTTCACCGAAATAGAGTGTCATCTGAGATGCAGTTGTCTTCTCTCTCCAACTGTCCCACCATTTGCTTCAACTCCGAGATCTCCTTCAGTAGCTCCTCAATGATGAGGTGATTGTCGTCCACTACAACACTTTGCGTCCAAATTTACAGTATTTCGCATTGTCTTCACCATTGAGGAGATAATTACAACAATTATTACAAGGATTGCAGC